CGAAGGAGACCACCTGGGACAAACCCACGGCTATGGCAGCTAAGCCTGCCCTCCCGGCCCCACTAGCACCAGCGGGACTGCCCCCAAACTGGGAAGAGCACAAAGATCCCAGCACAGGCAAGACGTACTACTACAACAAGGTGACCAGAGAAACCACCTGGGACAAACCGAAAGGTGCCGCAGCGCCAGCAGCCCCAGCAGCACCTGGGGTTGGTGGTTTGCCGCCTGAGTGGGAAGAGCACAAAGATCCAGGCACTGGGAAGACCTTTTACTACAACAAGACGACAAAGGAGACCTCGTGGGACAAGCCCGCTCCGAAGCCTGCTCTTGCACCTGCAGCTCCAGGCGCACCAGGTGGAGGTCTGCCCGCCAACTGGGAGGAGCACAAAGACCCATCGACTGGGAAGACTTTCTACTACAACAAGGTGACGAAGGAGACTTCCTGGGACAAACCCGCTGGTTCTTCAGCAGCTGCACCGCCTGATGCCGGAGGCTTGCCACCAAATTGGGAAGAGCACAAGGACCCCTCCACCGGCAAGGTATTCTATTACAACAAGATTACGAAGGAGACGTCTTGGGACAAACCGAAGGGTGCCGCGGCTCCAGCAGCTCCCGCAGCACCGGGAATTGGAGGTTTGCCGCCTGAGTGGGAGGAGCACAAGGATCCAAGCACTGGGAAGACATTCTACTACAACAAGACGACAAAGGAGACCTCGTGGGACAAGCCCGCTCCGAAGCCTGCTCTTGCACCTGCGCTCAAGCCAGCCCCACTGGGAGGCCTTCCACCCAACTGGGAGGAGCATAAAGATCCATCCACCGGGAAGATTTTCTATTACAACAAGGTGACGAAGGAGACGTCCTGGGATAAGCCCAAGGGTGCTTCTGCGTCGGCGGCTCCAGCAGGTCTTCCACCAAATTGGGAAGAGCACAAGGACCCCTCCACCGGCAAGGTGTTCTATTACAACAAGATCACGAAGGAGACCTCTTGGGACAAACCGAAAGGTGCAGCATCGCCAGCCGCGCCGAGTCCGCTGGGAGGTTTGCCGCCTGAGTGGGAGGAGCACAAAGATCCAGGCAGTGGCAAGACGTTTTACTACAACAAGGTGACCAAGGAGCCCACGGATTTCTGGGGGGATGCAGTACCTGAGGGGCTCTCGTGAATGTATCAAGACTTCTTTGCAGTGCTTAGCCCGTTGTTGTTTGAGGAGACGTCTTGGGACAAGCCGGCGGGAGCAGCAACTGAGCTGGCAGTCAATCCGGGGCCAAAGTTCAAGTAGCGAGCGTTCGCAGAGTCCAAGCTGTTCCATGGAGCATCGCACATGTCCTAACCCTAAACCCTAAACCCTAAACCCCCCAACCCTGAACCCTAAACCCTAAACCCACTGCCGAGGCAGCTGGAGGCTTACCGCCGCATTTTGCCTGCAAGCGATCCTCGTGAGGTGTCGTAATTCGAAGGGTGGCAGCTACGTTCGGCTCGCGCTTCGAGTATTTCTGCAGCTGCTTCTGCCACTTGGTCCCGTCTCTGAGGAACTGGGAAGAGCACAGCGATCCATCGTCGGGGCTGCTTGGCAGCAGTAGACGTGCAACACAGACAGGGCGAAGGATCTAGCCCTGGACAGTTTCGACTGAGGAAGAACTTCTACTACAACACAATCACAAAGGAGACTCGTCGCTTGTCCGCATGATTTGAAATTCCATTTCTTGCCGGAAGCGATGCGCGTCAGGAATCCAAGGATCAACGGAAGTGAAGAATGCCCGTTACCGTATGTACTTCAAGGATGCAAGCGCTCGCTTTAACGCAGCCTCAACTTTCGTTTGCTATCCCACGGCCTGTCTATCGAATCCTTGTAAACAAACCAGCAAGGGCCCTGACCCTTCAATGAACAATCCCCTAAAACCCTGGAGTCATAGGTCCCAAGCCGATGCTCGAAGTCTTACTAGGCCTTGCACCTGTGCCTGGCACCCCAGGCTGGGACAAACCATGATTCCTCGTTGCTTTGGAAGGACGGCCTTGCGCAATTGTGCCCTTAATAATTAGAACACGGTTTTGGGGTCCATGTTGCTATCAGCATAATAAGGAACCCCAACAAAGTATGGGAAATTATATATGTACGTTGAATGACGAATGAAGGTGGGAAGTTGCAGAATCACGCATGGTCAGGAAGCATACACTGGTGTCAGATAACATGTAGCACCTTTGTTTTTTGTATGTACTTGCACATAGGCAGACAGAAAGAAAGAAACGACAACAGCGAAATAACGACATAAATAACGTTAGATAGATACAGAAAGACCGAACAAAACAATGCCATAAAGGCTAAAGAAAGCACCACAGAAAGACCCAAGAACGAAATTACAAACATGGACGAACGAAATGCATAAAGAAAGACCGACAGAATGAATGACAACTAGATACAGTGAAGCAGGTAGGTAGATAGCTAGCTAGCTAGCTATCTGGCTAGCTAACCAGCTGGATAGATAGACAAACATACAGATAGATAGGTAGGTAGGTAGGTAGGTAGGTAGGTAGGTAGGTAGGTAAGTAGGTTGATAGACGGAAAGACAGATTGATAACAGACAGATAGATAGGCGGATAGATGAATAGAGTAGAGTTCGATCAATAGACGGATAGATACTGGTAGATAAACAGATCGATACTTCGTTAGATCGATAAACAGTTACAAATCTACATAGATGGACGGAGCATCGGTTCTGTTTTTGCGAGGGTGTGCTCAGATGCCCGAAGTGAGTAGATGAAGCCGGAGTTGCTCCTGGAAGTGCACTTGCATTGTCGATGCCAGGGCAAAGCGCGATCACCAAGGCCAGACTTTCGTGTCGTATGTAGGCGAGATGTGTGAGATGTTCGGTGCGCCTGTCGATGCAGCAGCTTCATCCTTGCAGAGGCTAATGCGAATGTTTGAGGATGCCCTGCTGATGCGGGTGTGTGGGATGTTTCAAAGGACAGGCTTCTTCTCTTTGCCAGTTCACAGACGGACCAAGCTGCATCAAGCTCGTTGAATGGTCTGCAGATGGCGTGACAATTCCTTGCCCTGCCCGGCGGTCGGCACATGTATCTGCATAGTTCCCAGAGCGAAGACCTTGCATATCTGGAGGACCTCCTGCGCTGTGCAGACGTGATGCAGCTCACCTATCCTCAGTTGAAAAGAGCCCACACGGATGGATTCGTCCTGCCAGTTCAAGAGACTTGCGTAGCAGAGGACGTGTCGCATAGAAGTCGCTCCGAGCCGGAAGCTCGCAGCATGCTGATTGCATAGGAGCATATCCGCCCTCAATACCGGAACAATCTGGTGCGTGCTGCTCGGAAAAGAGATATCATGGCCATACCATTAGTGTGTCACGCCGTACCCATCCCCATCCACCAATGCAATTCGCAATCCTCGGGGACATCGGAGACCAGAGCAGGATATGTAAGACCGTGCCGTGAACAGCAGGTCAGACACATTATGCTACAGTACTGAGGAAGCCACATGCCAAATCATGCCGATGCAATGGCTGCTCGGTGCATGGCTGCCTCAGCGCCAGACATGCGGGGTTCAGCTGTGTCGCCGGCACAGTGGGAGGAGCACGTGGATCCGAGTTCTGGGAAGAAGTTTTTCTTCAACCCGGCCACCCAAGAGACGAGCTGGACAAGGCCTAATTCCCGTGCAGGCTACCCGCCTGATCCTGCGAGGAAATCTGACGGCTGGACGGAGCACAGAGACCCAGCAAGCGGAAAGATGTTTTATTTCAACACCGACACCAAAGAGACAAGTTGGCAGAAACCCAGTGCAGCATCAAGCGCGGATCCTTGGACGGAGCACGTCGATCCTGATTCTGGCCGCAAATTCTATTACAACAGCACGACGAAGGAGTCGGCGTGGATGAAACCAGTCAGTTTAGCTGATCGGAGCGTCGGATACCAAAAAGGCCCTCATGTGGCCAAGAGCAAGCCGCTGGCCCCTCCTGCTGCCCCAGCCCCAGTGCCGCCTCCACCAACTTCGCCGACGAGGCCGCCCATACCGGCACCGCCAGCAGGGCGTGTGGCCCCCTGCCCCGGCCCTATAGCTCCGCCTCAGTGGGAGGAGCACGTCGACAGCTCTGGCCGGCGGTTCTTCTATAACCCCATTACACAGGAGAGCTGCTGGAGCAAGCCCGGCTCGGCCTCTTCTGTGCCCCGTCCGCCAGCTTCCCCGGTTCCTCCTCCGAAGAGGTCTGATGGTTGGACAGAGCACAGAGACCCAGCTACTGGCAAGCTTTTCTATTTCAACACGGAGACGAAGGAGACAAGCTGGCAGAAGCCAGGGGACGCACAGGAGTGGACCGAGCATGTAGATGAGTCTGGTCGGACTTTCTATCACAATTCCCAAACCAAGGAGTCGTCCTGGTCAAAGCCCGTTGCCAAAGATGACTGGGAAGAGCATGCGGATCAAGCCACAGGACGGAAGTTCTTCTACAACCGACAGACAGGGCAGAGTTCTTGGGAGAGACCCAAACCTGATCACAGCGACGCTCGGGAGGGCTTGCAGCTCCTGTGCTTCGATTTCGACTGCACGATTGCTGCCATCCACGTCTTCGAGGCCGGGTCTCTTGGGGAGAAAACAGTGATTGCAAAGACGGATGGTACACCGAGAACATGATCAGAGGTGCATGAGAGAAGCGAAATCCGTATCCTAAACCCTAAACCCTAAACCCTAACCTTGTTGGGTTCTGGGGAGGAGCTTTGCCGGCGAGGGGGCTTCGATGGCCCTTCGCAGAAGGCAAAGCTGGAGATCCAATGCCGGGAAGAGCCGGAGTTTCCCTCTAGGAGAGTAGTTTTTTTTTGTTGGGGGGGGGGG